TTCTCTAAAAGTGTTATAAAGAATAATGTGTGTACTTCATGTCACACAGCATGTCAGAGACTCCGACAGGCTAAATACTCTTCCCATTTACTTGACTTCATCTTTATCCTTGAAATGAAAGTGACTGCATTTCTTAGAGAAGTAAAAATAATAGCAGTCATGACCTTTAAAACAAATCATCTTATTTTTAAATACAGGTGTTGGATGAGGTCATGGTGTCCTTTGGGGTGTAAATAAAAGCTCCAACTTACCAATTCACATCTTAGGGACTCCCAGAGGCTGTACCAAAATCGCTCTACAGACTTCACCTGTGCCCTTATGATTTGTCCGGAATGACTGGGACATAAGTACTTGTATCGGCTGTGTCTTCAGGGCCCTGTAACTACCAGATTCTTGAATCCCTTAGGCAGCACAGACACCAGCATTTCTGCCCTTCTGCCAAGACGAGGCAGTTGAGTAGGAAGTCCTATTCCCTAATTTCCCCAGACACCACTCACAGGGGCATGTGTTCAGTGGACTAGTGCAGGGTGGGATGCTCGGGCAGACAGCTCGCAGAGCCTCTGCACAAACAACTCACTCCTGAATTTTGGCCATTCCATTTCTTAAGACTGACTTTTCTTCCCATAGTGCAGCTTCCCAGCACATTGTCTGAACCCCTACATCCGCAAAGACTTTGCTTCTCGATTTGCTTTTAGGACCCCTCTCCTTGATCTTCCCTCTCCATCCCTCAGGTCTTCTCTCTGAGGTCCAGATCCACTTCACTGACCTTGCTCTCCCCACCCTCTGCCCAAGTTCTGCTTTTCCAAAGATCAGTAGGCTCTAGTGGATGGAGTCACCTCTCAGGCTCATATTCGCCCCTTTCCTGTCAAAGTAATTGCTGTTGACCTCCTTATGGGAGGCTCATATTCACTCCTCTTTTCCCAAAGTGATTTCTCTTGACACCCTGCCTTGGAATTATTGCTCTAACTGCTCCGAACAACTAGCAAAAATCTTGCTATTTCAGTCTTTTTCTTTTTTTTTTTTTTCTCCTTTATTCAACTCTGTAAGTGTCAGGGATCATGGAAGACATTTATTTTCTCTCTAATATAAATTACTCCACTCTCTTGAGGGGAAAGACATAGCTTCATCAGATTTGGTTTTAATAACTATTTTTTCCTCCTAGGTATAATTCTTAAACCTAATTTTCTTAATAGTAGGGTTTTCTTTTTAATTTTTACAGATATTACTGAATTCTTATTCAGTTTGTTTTCTCATCTGCAAAATTGAAAAATTGAATTAGAGAAGCTCTAAGGCTTATTTGCTTAAAATTATATATTTTTAACTCATTATTTTATTTTTTCTTTAACAATAATATGCCTGGTTATTAGTTATCCATTAATTTCTTAAAAATGATGTATTATTTTCTTATTTGGAAGTGAATCAAGGAGTCAAAACTCTAACATTTCTTTTATTTCCTTTTCACTGTCTCAAGTAATTGATGCTCTGAGGAGTGATGTTTCAGAATCACAGCTTGTTAGTTTGAGGCCTGAATCCATGACACTGGTCAGTGTTGATTTGAGAAATATTATCTCATCTTTCTGACCTTCAGGGTTTGTTGTTGTTGTTGTTGTTTTGTAACCTATAAAAAAGAACAATAATGACAACTACCTCTTGGAGTTGCTGTGATGAATAAAACAGATTATGTGAAAAGAGATTGTGAAACCTAAGGTACCATCAAGTGTTAATTCGTTTGAGAGGAGGGAAGAAGTAGAAACTGAGAATGAAGAGGAAGGACGGATTCTATAGCATGATTTATTTACATCACTTAGCAATGGAAATAAATGACTGAAATTGCTCCACAATGGGTCATTGGTCTTGCACTGTCTCCCCTCTCTCCATAATTGGCAAGGGATAACCTTTAGGGCAGGTGATAGATGATTTCATTTGATATGTACTGCACAGCACAGAACTGCCTACTGAAATAAATGTTTTTGGTTTTGTTTATGAGAGAGAAAAAGAGAGTACAGGAGGGAGGGAAGAGGAGAAATACCTATATATTTTGAGAGTCTCACCATGTCATGATCCTCTTGCTGAGCCTTCCAGCTAGCTAGGACCATAGGTGCATGCCACTCTGCCTGTGCTGCTCAGGCTGAGCCAAGAACTGAACCTGGGCCTCCTTGGAACCTCGGACACTGCACAGCACTGTCTCCTGCTTCTACCACCAGGGCTGGATAGAGATACATATTTTTTGGCAAGATTTTTAGCAGAGGACACTTTTGCGAAAGAGAGAGAATGAAAAATCACCCCCCAGGGAGCATGGGCATGCTGCAGTCCTTTCCCCTCCATTCTCCTAGGATGTTGGGCACACACGCCCATGTGCCAGTTTAATTTTCCAGCCACCAGATCCAGGACTCAAGCTATGGTTGCCAGCATGGGAGTCCAGCACCTTAACCACCATGCCGCTTGCTAGTCTCTAAATACATTGTTTCTAATTGGCGTGGAGTTATCTGGGAAGAATCATAGATTAGATACCCTGATTTCTTTGTACTTTTGTTTGTTGTTTTGTTTTGGGGGGGTTGTTTGTTTTGTTTTTTCGCCAGAGACAGAGAGAGAGAGAAAGTGAGAAATCGCCCCCTGGGGTGATGGCTCCACTGCAGTCCCCTCCTCTGTTTTCCTCTCAGGATTTTAGGCACACATGCACATGCACCCTGTGTGAGTTTTAAGCCACCAGGTCCAGGACTTGAACCATGGTCAGCCACGTGGGAGTTCGGCTCCTTAACCGCTACACCACGTGCTGGCCCTTTTTCATACTTTTTGAAAGCCAGACCTATCAGCTAATGGAGGTCCAGGCGCTAGAGGGTTCCTGCATTGTCACATTGTTTTCTATTCCACATAGATATTTACTAGATTCTATGACCTCTGCATTTCGTAAGATTTTAAGTGGAAAGAAACAAGTAAAAACAGCTGCTAGAGGAAGGAATCGAATCAAATCATCTTGCCCCAGAGCAGGATAGTGTAGCCCAAACCCAAAGTGCTTCCCCCTGGCTGCTGAAGTCCTCACACTGTCAGAGACGAGGGGTCATGAGGGACTTGGTTCCACACTGGGGGAGTCATTCACCATTGTGCTCCTTGTCTGGTGGAACCCCCACCTGCTTGCCTCAAGTTATCATTATTCCCGTGTCCAGCCCTCCACCTTCCTTCTTGTCTCAGATGAAAACACTCACTCCTGTCTTCACTCATCTTTTCCCAGGACTCAGAAATCCTCCTCTTCATGTAGAGTCAGACATGTATTTAATTATTCTCACTTTCCTTTTCTAATATGTACATCTTAACTTTTACTCACAAATCTGTTCTGGTCTCTCCAATTTAAAAAGGCAGAGAAAATGAAAGAAAACTCCACCTCTGCTTGGCCGTTCTGCATCTCTCTGGAGAGCTTTATTATCCTTCACCTTGACTCTTCCCTCCTTCATCATCTCCAGCCTGGATTCTGTCCCGAGTCAGTTAGCACCCTCCAGGCATCAGGCTGTGAGACAGCATTAGAAGTGGGAAGGACTCGCTGGGGGGATTTGTGATGGACAAGGTGTGAGACAGAGTAGGCAGGATGAGCTTCAGTCTGTGACACAAGCATGGCTCTTCTGAAGGGAGAAAAGGAAGAAAAGAACATACATGAGAAAACCCCGAAACTGCCATGGCCTTGGAGAAAGTCTCAACCAAACTAATAAGATGTTCCAGAACAGAGAAAGTGTGTAAGAGGAGTCCCAGGTGAGGCAGGTCTGGCCTGGCCCCTCGCTCCCGTAGTGCTGTCACTGCCCCTGGAGAGGGGTGGTGGGGCAAGTGCTTTCTGGCAGACGCTCTGTGCAGGAGTTGATGCCGCCAGCCCGCCCCAGCGCTGCCAGCTGCTTTTCTCCCTGGGAGACTTGAGCACCATTCAGCTGGCTGCCACAGGAACCAGTCATTCTATTGAAGTTACTTTCTCAGAGCTGAGAAAAGACTAGCAGCCTATCTCCTCTAACTATGTAACTTTAGATGATCTTGCTTCTTCTATTATTTTTAATTTATTTTTAAAGAATTATTTATTTAATTTTGTTGTTATTACTATTATTTTAATTTGACCAGACACAGAGAAAGGTAATGTGAGAAAGCAAGCCGCCAGGTCTGGACTTGAACCATGGTTGGCTATATGGGTCTGGCGTCCCAACCACCAAGTTCACCTGCTGGCCCCTTGCTTCTCCGGGTATATGCTCCCACAACCTCAAAAGAAGTCCATCATGGGACCAGCGGTTAGCGTAATGGCTATGTCGCTGGACTCCCACGTAGTCTATCGCGGTTCGCGTCCCAGACCCAGTGGCTTAAAACTCACGCCGGGTGCGTGTGCGTGCATGCCCAAGATCCCGAGAAGAGAACGGAAGAGAAGGGATTGCGGCGTGGCCATCCCCCCTGGGGGGAGGGGGCTGATTTCTCGCTTTCTATCTCTGTCTGTCTGGCGAGCACACGTGCCCTATAGCAAAAACCTCTCCAAAAAAAAAAAGAAGTCCATCAGTGTATTGCAGATATATATATGCTACTTGCACCATAAGGGGACAAAATTCGTAATTCTGGAACTTGTCAGCCAGCGTTGCTATTAAACATACAGAAGTTATTCTGAAATTCAGAAGCCTAATAATACTGAACTAAGTGCTAGTAATTTTGAGTGCCTAATTTGTGACCGAACCTGTTCTGAGTATTTTATCTGTATGAACTCATTTTATCTGTATCATAATCTCTTGAGCTACATTTTATTAATAGTGACAGTTAACAGAAGTCAACTGAGGCACAGCTAGGTGAACTCAATCTCCCAAGAGCCCATGGCTAGGAGGTGGTGAAATCAGGATTCGAGAGCTTACACAACCGGGATATGTTTTGTATCACTAATTGCCAGAATACGTTTTCCTAGAAAATTATTCATTACAGAGTGTCCACCTAATTCCTTTTAAGCACATGAATCATGCAGCAATATTTTGTTGTGTTTCTCTGTCTTCCAGGGCCCTGCGTTCCTAACCCATGCCATAATGGAGGAACCTGTGAGATAAGTGAAGCATATCGAGGGGACACGTTCATAGGCTACGTTTGTAAATGTCCCCGAGGGTTCCATGGGATTCACTGTCAGCACAGTAAGTCATTTGTAGCCATTGTGGTATTATTATTATTGACCGAAAGTCTTATACACATCGTCGTCATTCTTGTTTCTAGTGGAATCGTAGAATAGCAAAGAATCCTGGTATTTGGCTAATGCTGCTTCTCTCATGGAGTACACGTTTCCAGCTGAGGACTCCCAGCCTGTTTTGTCATCTCCCCCATGGCGTGGGGCCTAAGAGTCTTCCATCAGACTTTTCATAATTGTTTAGACATACTTGTAAAAAAGTTGCTCTTGCCACTGATCTGAAATCTGTTTCTGCTTTTCATATGTGTGCTAAAGGTAACCTTCAGGCTTCCTGAAAATTATTCTAGCCATTAGGTTCAGAGATGACACCTAGAGAAGAAAGCTGCCTCCTTTGTTTATAAGTTTGTTTCCTCCTTTTTACTTTCCGGCATTTTAGTGTGAAAATCTTTGAAATTTACCAAGTATATTATCTGCACATCTTTCTCTTCTCGCCCCTTTTCTTTGTCCTGAAAAGCTAAACATCATAGATCTACTTTGGAGGATTTCTTCTAGAGATAAGGCTGAACATAGATCAAATGAGCGGTGTGGTCCCCTAACTGCTGTAGGTGTTCAGCAAGCAGAAAGGCCACAGAGAACAGAGAACTTCTCAGCCGTCAGGGGAGCTTTTCACAGAGGCTGTTACAATTGAGTTAAGTCTTGAAGGAGGAACAAGATGTTAATTGGAGAAAGAGAAAGGAGAAAGAGAAATTGTACGAAGGAGGACGAGTTGGGAGGGAATATACGAGGGGATTTCAAAACATTTGTGGGAAAATGGAATTAAAAGACGAGTTTAGGGCTCTTTGATGGTGGAGGTGGCCGGATCCCACATGGCTGACTGCATGGTTGGAGTCCCGGTGCTAGTGATTTGAAAAACACACCAGGTCTTCACTAATATGCACTATATTCATGCTGGGGCAAAAACATGTTTTGTACAATGTAAAGATGTATCTCTGAGCTGTGTGCCGCTGCTGCATCCTGTGGTCGGCCCTCAGTTATCTTTAATGGCCTGAAAGTGCCATTGCAAACATCAAGTCATCATTTTTCCCGGTATAAGCAAGGCTTCTCTATGTGCTACTTCCTCCTAGTCTAAATATAAAATAGTCTAAATATAAATTATATTTATATGTGTATATATAAAATAAATTATATAATATATAATATATAAATAATATAAATATATATATATATATATATATATATATATAAAAGAAAAATAGAAAAATGCACCAGACACATGTTCATGGATGCCCAAAATCCTGAGAGACTGGAGGAGAGGGATTATGGCATAGCCATCTCCCGGGGCAATGCTTTCTCGCTGTCCCTCTCTCTTTCTCTCTCTGTGTGTCTCTCCAATTAGTATGCATGCCCTACAGGAAAAAAAAAAAGTACAAGTTAATTTTGGTCCCAAAATTATTGAAAGTCATGCATTGCTTTTTCATTAGATTGAGTTTTTCATGAACTCTTTGAAGACTCCCATAGAAGCCGTGAGCACTGCACTGATGGATGAGACAGTGGTGTTAACAACAATGAGGCGAAGCTAGAAACGTCAACCAGATCCACATTTCTAAACACTGGCAAAAACATGAATTGCCTCCTGGCTTTGCAACTTTGGGAGTAGTTTGTACTATTCCGGAAACTTGCCAGGGCTGAGATTTTAGAATTTCTGTAGAAGCCTGTTACATTGTGTGGGTCTTAACCGTCTTACAACTGGCACCTAAACTTATTGTAATGTTCCCTAAGAGCTCATGTCACCGACAAGGAATGAGAGGCTCCTGACCTGGCTCAGGCTGGGTGCAGAGATGCCAAAGCTGGTTCTCTCTGACAGCAACATCACTGCTCAACCTCCATGTAGAGACACCTCAACAGCCCTGGTAAGACAGAGCTAGGAGACCTGAATCTTGTCATGCACTTAATGAAAAGAATATTCTTTCCTTCCTTATAAAACCCTGTGATCTGCTGTCAAAAGCAATGCCTGAGGGGAGAGTCTGATCACATACTGGAGCCCCTCAATTCAGAGGGACTTGTCTGTACCACATACCCTAACAGAGGATCACCCTAAAAGGAAAATGAGATTTCCGTGGTGGCTCATCCACTGTCGGTGGACTTAGACCCAAGGCCGTTTCATCCCAACTTCCTCTTTTCTGTGATGCTGGGCTGCAGGCAGGAGGAGGTAAGACTATCTAAAAGCAGATTCTTAGTGTTAGAATAAATCCTGCCAAAGTTATAAGGGCAATATTCAGAAAACACGAATAGACCACTAGTATTCCTTAAATATTTCCTATTTATTCATCTTTCCTCTATAACCTACTATTGAAGTTAGAATGAGGTTGGGGCCAGCCTTCAGATTAGAAGTTGGGAAACTCCCAATCTTAGTTCCAATTAATATCTCTACAATGGTACAAAATTCTTTTCATATCTCTGAACCTTTTTTTCTTTATATTGTGAAGGTCAGTTTAGTTTCAGTTACCTCTTTTTGTTCATTTGTTTGAAGTTTTTTGTTTTCTTTTTCATGAGAGTTAAATTAAGCAAGGGAATGATAAAGAAAGAGGCACCCTTGGGAAATTTTTACACCACTGACCTCCCCTCCCAGGCAGCCAGCCAGCCAGGATCATGGGTCCATCCTAACCATGCCTGTCATGTACAGGTTGATTTGGAAGCTGAACTCCTGTTTTCCACACAGCCCAGCATCTCTGAGCTGTGTGCCGCTGCTGCATCCTGTGGTCGGCCCTCAGTTATCTTTAATGGCCTGAAAGTGCCACTGCAAACATCAAGTCATCATTTTTCCCGGTATAAGCAAAGCTTCTCTGAAAAGGTGCTACTTCCTCCTAGTCTATACATGGTTGTCAGGGAATTTTTTCAAGAGGACTATCAGCTTGGTAGCAATAGGGTAAGTCAGTTTCATTCCCATTCCCTGGGTGGAACATCCAAGTATTCATATACTCTTACACCTTACTCAAACATGCTTCAAAAATCCACACAATCATATTGAATTTCAAAGTGTATTTCGAAGCACAATAAATCTTTCCCTTACTGTATCCAGCTCCCCACAAGACCTTAAACCCATGTTAGAATTGCAATGGGATGCCCAAAGCTGAGAGATTCGATTCAGAAGGGGATTTTGTGGTCTAAAACAGCTAATCTCTATTCTCTGGAGTGTATCATTATTAGAAGCAACAGAGAATGGAGGAAAAAAAGACTAGGTTTGAAATCTGAAACATGGATTTGAAACCTGACCTTTATAGTTATTGGATCAGTGACCTTGAGCCAGTCACTTGACCTTTCTGCAATGGAAGACATATAAATTGAGGACTTGAACTAGAAATAGAAGCTCTTTGGGTCTCATGGGCCAAGAAAGTATGATGATTAAATGTGTAGCTCGCTCACTGTACAAAGGTTAGCAAGACTTTATAGATGAAATTGAAAAGGATTATATATTGAGAAAGCAGATTTAAAAGTGCTGAGAACCCTGGAAGTTTTTTTCAGGTACAAGAAACAAGAAAACAGTTCTTTAATCTTTTGCGAGGATTGCTAGTTATTTGGGTTTGTTTGTTTTTCACTGTGGCAATAGTTTTTTGGCCCTGCTATCCTTTTAGAACTTTGCTACTAAAGGGGTGGTTACAAATCCGCATTACCTGGAGGATGCTGTAATGCAGATTACCAGACATCACCTCAAATCAACAAAATCAGAATCTGTGTTTCACAATGATTTCCAGTTGACTCCCACTCATGCCGAAGATTGAAAAATATCACTGCTCAAGGTTTTCAGTAGTTGAATGCGATTGTGACATGGCTTAGGTAGCAGTAAATGGCAATAGATTATAAGCAACATATTTATGAAAGTTTTTGATTAAAAAAGGCTGAAAATCAATAAAAATGAGAGCTGTACTACTGTAGTATGAATGTGTCAGTTGGAAAAATAATTGGAAAAATTCATCAGACAGCCATATTTGGGGAAGTACTTACAGTTTAATTCTGTAGGCCAGAATGGTAACTAAATATCTTTTGAATTATAACTAGACACTTAAAGAATTGTTATTGACATAGACGTGACATATATGAAGCTAATAGGTTTAGTTTAATGACTATTTTGTCAAAATTAGAAAGTTATTTCCAGTGTCAATGTTATTACCTACATATGCTTTTTTATTTTACTTTTTAAAATTTATACACTTTATTTGTAGAACAGTTTTAGGCTTAGAGAAAAAAAATAAGTAGATAGTGCAGAGTTCCCATTTTTTACCTCCTGGTGTTTCTTTGATTATTGATATCTTGCATCAGTATATTTGTTACAGATGATAAAACTGTATTGATATGTCATTTCTAATAAAGTCCCTTGTTTATATTAGGGTTCACTCTGTGTATTGTATAGTTCAATGGGACTTTATAAAGAGACATTATCAAGAGACTTTATAAAGAGGTTTAGGGCTAGCAAGGTGGCATGGTAATTGAGGTGACTGTGTTCTCCGTGGGTGATTGCAGGGTTTGAGTCCCAGTTCTGGTGGTTTGGAAAACACACTGGGAGCATGTGTGTGTGCATGTAGGGTTCTGAGGGGAAAACGGAAGAGAGGGAATTACGGCATGGCTGTCACCCCTGGCAGGTGATTTCTCACTTTCCTGCTCTCTTTCTCTACCTCTCTCCAGCTGGTGTACATGTCATATAGGGAACTATTGGGGGTGGGGGGAAGGAGTTTATTTGACTTGATTCTGGAGACTGGAAAGTTAAAAGGCATCTCAAAGTGGTGGAAGGTAGAACTTTTTGAACTGTTATTCCTATTATAAGTGGTTCAACAGACGAATCTCAGGGGCGGGGGGGGGGGCGGATTCAAACTATAGGGCCCCCACTTGACAACCACTGGCCTTTTTCTATCTATAGTATTGCCTTTTCTATAATGCCATGTATACAGCTTGGAGCTTTTTCTGACTGGCTTTTATTTCCCACTTAACAATATGATTTAAAGTTTATCCATGTCT